CCCCAAAACCCCAAAACCCCATGAGTACAATAACAGTAAAATGTCAGTTAGATTTAAATTCATAATTATTTATTAGAATATTTCTGAGGACTAACCGCCACCTAAACTCTCACTCCTAACTTCCTAATGTTACGTTAAAACACCACTGGAAACATCTAAACTAAACTTGCAAATAACAAAAAGACATTGAATGCCTCTTATTCATCTAAATTAGAAGCAAAGCAGCAAACAATATTCGCTCAAAGAAGAGTAGTAGCTCCTACATACTCCAATCAAGACAAGGAGAATTTCACCAACAGTGCAATTTTGAGCAATAAACGTCAGGATAAAATGGCTTAAAAAGACAAAAAACTCAGCTTGAAATAGAGTAATCAATAGCTTTCCCTATTATATTTACTTATCATTACTTATAGAAAAGAAGATGAATACTGAGGTTAAGATTCGTATGAAGTCGAGAGTGAGATTCGCTGGCTAGACTATCAGCGGAGCAGCAAATGAGTTCAGGGAATGCAAGAGTATTAAATCTGATAGAAGCTCAATTTTAACGATCAAAGATGAGAGAACTTCAAGAAAAAGAAATAACTCAAGTAAGATTAAAATGTTTGAAGTGTTATAGGCCATCAGGAGAAGAATTTCTCATCACCAGGGCCATCTTAGTAGAAGAGAGCTCGCGTAGATCATTAAATATCTTGCGGAAATTCGACAAATTCAACTGGAAATGACAGTTTTAACCCCCTACTTAGCAGTGCTGCATCTAGTGGCCAAACCAGACAGAGCATTAAATCTAGTGTGACAGTGTCCTCTTTCAGCTAATTACCAATGAGGCAAAAGACATCAACAGCATTAAAGGAAGAAGCTAGAAGAAGAGCTGCCTCAAAAATAAAGCATGAAGTTATACAGTTTGAAGATAAAATCTCAGGCCATATGTTAGATTTCAACATTTATGAGGAGAGGGATTTGCCATTCATGAACTAAAATACCGATATGGGAGTTATCATTAGAAAGACTATTATTGATGGAGATGTGGATGATGATTGTGCTACAGATGGTGAGCAGAGAAATGACGCGAAAGATATGCTGAAGAATGAGCTTGCTAGCGCAATCAATAAATATCTTTCAGATAAGAGAGATGGGACCCAAGCTAATTTCATCAAGAACATCAACCCGATGAAGAGATTCCAGAGATCTCCATTCTGCTGATTATCAAAAATAAAGTCAGGATAATACCCAAACTAATTCATTGAGCCTCAGAGCTGGTGATTTTCCAAAAAGCTCGAAGATTATAGAAGATCTAGAGCGGGAAGTCCTCAATTTTGAGGGGAGATGCACCTTATAAAATACATATTTAATTAATAAATAAGACATTATTATTAAATTGGATTGATTTCAAATCATAATTAATATCAAACCTTCCCAGCAATATTAAGCATTGAATTTTATACCATCGAGACAAAAATTATTTAGATCTTTAAATAAATATCATCAATTTATCATCGTCTTATTCAATCTCAACAGCAGTCGCTTACAATATTGAACTTTTCGGCTTTTTCGATTATCTTGTTATAGTATTATTAGTATAAATCCTCGGAGACATATAGTTCATAATTACAGAGAGCAAGGAAAGTACTTTCAAGTTGGTTAACTGCCTTAAGTGGGTACAAATCAATTGCTTCACAAAAATCTAAGTTCCAAAACCTATTATTAAGAATTAGGATAATATATTTATGCCTACACTAAATCCTCCCAAAATTTAGCAGCTAGAAGTATAGCTGTATAGACGATAGGCTGCCAATTAAAACTTAATATTTACACACCTCCTTTTTTCTATTTTTAGGATTAATATCATAATTTAATTGAAAATAGTCAAAATTATTCAATATCTTAGCTGAATATATACTTACAATTAATCTCTCGATAAAAATGAGAGAGAGTAGGCAAACTTCATTAGTCAGTTTCATCTTATTAATAATCTTAACCATAAACTGCTCTATTCTTTTCTGGCAGGGAGTACACTCAAGATCTTGCTTCTTTTCCTTGCTATTCTCAATGTGATAAACGAAAAGAGGCATATTAACTTAAACTGAAAAGCCCTTTTAACAGCCCTAATTAAATAAGGATTGAGTCCTGGTGTATAATTTTTGATTGAACAGCATAGTTGATTGTTTCACCTCCTAGATCTATTGTTAAGGTTTAACATCACTCTTATCAATGACTTTCTCCATGAACTAACTTGTCAACATATAGATAATCACACTTGTTTTGTAAATGATTTCCCTTCTTGAAAGTTTATACTCTCTAACTTAGAATATACCATTTTTTCTTTCTTTTTATTTAATGAGGAGCAAGTTTTTTCTTCTCTTGTACATTTCTTCACCTTCGAATGTATCATGTTCCTAGTGAGTGTGATGAACGTGTTGGTGAGCACTTTTTTTGTTTGGACTAAGGGTTTCTTAGCCACAGAGCAAACCCTTCTTAAGGAAAAATGAAGATATTTGTCTATTAACTTAAGTCATCAATATTTCATCCTGATTATTCTGATGCTAAGTTTATTCTATTACTTTTTATATGGTCGAAGAGCAATGTAAGCACTAATTGCAAAAATCTGGAAGATCATCCTCAGTTATAGAAAGGTTATGATCAGTGAAAGTTTTTGATTAACTTGGAGAACTAGATTATTCTGTATTTGTTCCATCAGTATGTTTAGGAAAATTTGAAATTAACTTTTTAAGAGGCAGTTCCAAAAGACTCTCCTCGTTTAATACCCTATCTAAGATAAGATCATTCTCATTCTCATCCACGTAGTCCTCCCCATCTTTGTCAGATTCTCCATCCTAAGATATAATTCTATGGAACTCGTCTTTGGTACATTTACAGCTTTTATCAGATGATAAACTATCATATAATTCAAGCTTGTTAGAATTAGCTCTAGACTTCCTCTCGCCTAAGTTCTGGTATGAAATACTTAGCTGCTCATTAATGGATGCCTTCATATTTTTAGAGATGTAGCCGTGTTTGAATTTTTTGTGTAGTTTTTAGTCGTTGTAGCGCACAACATCTGGGAGATCAGTGTAACTAACATAGTTTGGATTCTGCTTTATTTTCCTTGGACGATGTCCGTCATCACATGGCATGCAGTTATTCAATGAGTTACCCATCTATCGTAAGTATTATTTTTAAATTAATTATGATGACTGCAAATATATACGAAATTTAATTTAGATTAAATGGAGGCTAAAGGTAAATGCTAGATATGCCAACAACCAGCAACTAGTCTATGCTCTAAATGCAGATCAGTCTATTACTGCAATCGAGAGCATTAACTTGATGATTGGAAGAATCATAAACTTGTTTGTGGAAAATAAACTCAGAACACAAACACTGATTAATAAAGATCCTCGTAATCAAAAGATAAAAGAAGTCAAATTGATTTAGCATAGCAAAAGGCTAGCACATAAATGATAGATAAAGATAATCTTAAAAGCAATGAATCTGTAGGGACTTTCAGATGGAATGATTCCATAAAGCTTTTAAACGCTCCTGGTATGCTCATCATTCTATTAAAATAATTCTTATAGCATTTAAAAACGAGTATAGAGTTCTATTAAAAACTTTGAAAGAGGGATGGCAGACATATCTAGGAGTAAGATTTGAAGAATGCGCTGATGTGGAAAAAGAATAGATCATAGTTTAACCACACTAACTAGATGGACTCTCATTCTCAATGACATTGGTTTATCTTGTTCTTAACTTAAGACTCTTCTTGAAAGAAAGCATTACCTTTGTTATTATGGGAGCCACAGCTAAAGGTAGGTTTCTAATCAATTATAATATAATGAATTAAATTATTATTTTAGCCGAGGAAAGGCTATTTGTGTAGACTAATTATTATGAGGAACTGACAAATTTCTATCCAAAAACAACTTTCAAATTCTATTTTGTGGGGCCAGAGCTCTCCTCTTAAAGGAATCTCAAATCACATCAGGTGAATGAGAGATTATTTGGCACATTCTTCAGAGGCTAGATTTCTGAATTCTTGATCGATTAAAACATTAAAGCTGACAACACTCCAGATAATTTTCCAAAAGATAGTACTATATTTTTAGGCTATAATCCAGGGTTTGGCTCTGGATATGATTTATTGCTAAATTCTTGGTGTGTTGATCTAGTAGACTTAATTAACCTTGACTATCATGTCATTTTTACTTAAGCTAATGACTACTCTGTAAATTATATATAATTTGATGATTGTTTTATAATAGGATCTTAGAGGAGAATCAAGAGTGTTTTAAGTCATTTTCGAAAATAAAGTAAATTACATGATTGAGCCACAAGAAAATCCATTTAGAGCTGCCACTCATTACCATGAAGAAGGTAAACAAGAGACTTCATGGAGTTGTAGCTCAACCCATTTCTATTGCATCAAGGGGTGGAAAGAAGATTTTGATAGATTAACTGTGAAATAGGTAAGAGAAAATCTAAAAAGTCAAAAAGGTAAGAATCTTTTAAGTGAATTATTATTCTATCTCAATCAAGGAGGTAGTAATTGATTTATTGCTTATTAAAAAATTTTAAGCTAGGCTGCTCTCCTGACCACCAGGGGTTTTGGGGTTTTGGGGTTTTGGGG